AAGCATTGAGGAAATCATGAGATGTATATCTGAACACTAGGCATTGAGGACATCATGAGATGTATATCTGAACACTAGGCATTGAGGAAATCATGAGATGTATATCTGAACACTAAGCATTGAGGACATCATGAGATGTATATCTGAACACTAGGCATTGAGGACATCATGGGATGTATATCTGAACACTAAGCATTGAGGACATCATGAGATGTATATCTGAAAACAAGGCATTGAGGACATCATGAGATGTATATCTGAACACTAAGCATTGAAGACATCATGAGATGTATATCTGAACACTAGGCATTGAGGACATCATGGGATGTATATCTGAACACTAAGCATTGAGGACATCATGAGATGTATATCTGAACACTAGGCATTGAGGACATCATGAGATGTATATCTGAACACTAGGCATTGAGGACATCATGGGATGTATATCTGAACACTAGGCATTGAGGATATCATGGGATGTATATCTGAACACTAGGCATTGAGGACATCATGGGATGTATATCTGAACACTAGGCATTGAGGACATCATGAGATGTATATCTGAACACTAAGCATTGAGGACATCATGAGATGTATATCTGAACACTAAGCATTGAGGACATCATGAGATGTATATCTGAACACTAAGCATTGAGGACATCATGAGATGTATATCTGAACACTAAGCATTGAGGACATCATGTGATGTATATCTGAACACTAGGCATTGAGGAAATCATGGGATGTATATCTGAACACTAAGCATTGAGGAAATCATGGGATGTATATCTGAACACTAGGCATTGAGGACATCATGGGATGTATATCTGAACATTAAGCATTGAGGACATCATGAGATGTATATCTGAACACTAGGCATTGAGGACATCATGGGATGTATATCTGAACACTAAGCATTGAGGACATCATGGGATGTATATCTGAACACTAGGCATTGAGGACATCATGAGATGTATATCTGAACACTAGGCATTGAGGACATCATGAGATGTATATCTGAACACTAAGCATTGAGGACATCATGAGATGTATATCTGAACACTAAGCATTGAGGACATCATGAGATGTATATCTGAACACTAAGCATTGAGGACATCATGAGATGTATATCTGAACACTAAGCATTGAGGACATCATGGGATGTATATCTGAACACTAGGCATTGAGGACATCATGGGATGTATATCTGAACATTAAGCATTGAGGACATCATGGGATGTATATCTGAACACTAAGCATTGAGGACATCATGGGATGTATATCTGAACACTAGGCATTGAGGACATCATGAGATGTATATCTGAACACTAGGCATTGAGGACATCATGGGATGTATATCTGAACATTAAGCATTGAGGACATCATGAGATGTATATCTGAACACTAAGCATTGAGGACATCATGAGATGTATATCTGAACACTAAGCATTGAGGACATCATGAGATGTATATCTGAACACTAAGCATTGAGGACATCATGAGATGTATATCTGAACACTAAGCATTGAGGACATCATGGGATGTATATCTGAACATTAAGCATTGAGGACATCATGGGATGTAGATCTGAACACTAAACATTGAGGACATCATGGGATGTATATCTGAACATTAAGCATTGAGGACATCATGAGATGTATATCTGAACACTAAGCATTGAGGACATCATGAGATGTATATCTGAACACTAAGCATTGAGGACATCATGAGATGTATATCTGAACACTAAGCATTGAGGACATCATGAGATGTATATCTGAACACTAAGCATTGAGGACATCATGGGATGTATATCTGAACACTAGGCATTGAGGACATCATGGGATGTATATCTGAACATTAAGCATTGAGGACATCATGGGATGTATATCTGAACACTAAGCATTGAGGACATCATGGGATGTATATCTGAACACTAGGCATTGAGGACATCATGAGATGTATATCTGAACACTAGGCATTGAGGACATCATGGGATGTATATCTGAACATTAAGCATTGAGGACATCATGAGATGTATATCTGAACACTAAGCATTGAGGACATCATGAGATGTATATCTGAACACTAAGCATTGAGGACATCATGGGATGTATATCTGAACACTAAGCATTGAGGACATCATGGGATGTATATCTGAACACTAAGCATTGAGGACATCATGGGATGTATATCTGAACACTAGGCATTGAGGACATCATGGGATGTATATCTGAACACTAAGCATTGAGGACATCATGGGATGTATATCTGAACACTAAGCATTGAGGACATCATGAGATGTATATCTGAACACTAAGCATTGAGGACATCATGAGATGTATATCTGAACACTAGGCATTGAGGACATCATGAGATGTATATCTGAACATTAAGCATTGAGGACATCATGGGATGTATATCTGAACACTAGGCATTGAGGACATCATGGGATGTATATCTGAACATTAAGCATTGAGGACATCATGAGATGTATATCTGAACACTAGGCATTGAGGACATCATGGGATGTATATCTGAACATTAAGCATTGAGGACATCATGAGATGTATATCTGAACACTAGGCATTGAGGACATCATGGGATGTATATCTGAACACTAAGCATTGAGGACATCATGGGATGTATATCTGAACACTAAGCATTGAGGACATCATGAGATGTATATCTGAACACTAGGCATTGAGGACATCATGAGATGTATATCTGAACATTAAGCATTGAGGACATCATGAGATGTATATCTGAACACTAAGCATTGAGGACATCATGAGATGTATATCTGAACACTAGGCATTGAGGACATCATGAGATGTATATCTGAACACTAAGCATTGAGGACATCATGAGATGTATATCAGAACACTAAGCATTGAGGACATCATGGGATGTATATCTGAACACTAGGCATTGAGGACATCATGGGATGTATATCTGAACACTAAGCATTGAGGACATCATGGGATGTATATCTGAACACTAGGCATTGAGGACATCATGAGATGTATATCTGAACACTAGGCATTGAGGACATCATGAGATGTATATCTGAACACTAGGCATTGAGGAAATCATGAGATGTATATCTGAACACTAGGCATTGAGGACATCATGGGATGTATATCTGAACATTAAGCATTGAGGACATCATGAGATGTATATCTGAACACTAGGCATTGAGGACATCATGAGATGTATATCTGAACACTATGCATTGAGGACATCATGGGATATATATCTGAACACTAAGCATTGAGGACATCATGAGATGTATATCTGAACACTAGGCATTGAGGACATCATGAGATGTATATCTGAACACTATGCATTGAGGACATCATGGGATATATATCTGAACACTAAGCATTGAGGACATCATGAGATGTATATCTGAACACTATGCATTGAGGACATCATGGGATATATATCTGAACACTAAGCATTGAGGACATCATGGGATGTATATCTGAACACTATGCATTGAGGACATCATGGGATATATATCTGAACACTAAGCATTGAGGACATCATGAGATGTATATCTGAACACTAAGCATTGAGGACATCATGAGATGTATATCTGAACACTAGGCATTGAGGAAATCATGAGATGTATATCTGAACACTAGGCATTGAGGACATCATGGGATGTATATCTGAACATTAAGCATTGAGGACATCATGAGATGTATATCTGAACTATAGGCATTGAGGACATCATGGGATGTATATCTGAACACTAGGCATTGAGGAAATCATGAGATGTATATCTGAACACTAGGCATTGAGGACATCATGGGATGTATATCTGAACATTAAGGCATTGAGGACATCATGAGATGTATATCTGAACACTAGGCATTGAGGACATCATGGGATGTATATCTGAACACTAAGCATTGAGGACATCATGGGATATATATCTGAACACTAAGCATTGAGGACATCATGAGATGTATATCTGAACACTAAGCATTGAGGACATCATGGGATATATATCTGAACACTAAGCATTGAGGACATCATGAGATGTATATCTGAACACTAGGCATTGAGGACATCATGAGATGTATATCTGAACACTAGGCATTGAGGACATCATGAGATGTATATCTGAACATTAAGCATTGAGGACATCATGAGATGTATATCTGAACACTAGGCATTGAGGACATCATGGGATGTATATCTGAACACTAAGCATTGAGGACATCATGGGATATATATCTGAACACTAAGCATTGAGGACATCATGAGATGTATATCTGAACACTAAGCATTGAGGACATCATGGGATGTATATCTGAACACTAAGCATTGAGGACATCATGAGATGTATATCTGAACACTAGGCATTGAGGACTTCATGGGATGTATATCTGAACACTAAGCATTGAGGACATCATGGGATGTATATCTGAACACTAGGCATTGAGGACATCATGGGATGTATATCTCAACACTAAGCATTGAGGACATCATGAGATGTATATCTGAACACTAAGCATTGAGGACATCATGGGATGTATATCTGAACACTAAGCATTGAGGACATCATGGGATGTATATCTGAACACTAGGCATTGAGGACATCATGGGATGTATATCTCAACACTAAGCATTGAGGACTTCATGGGATGTATATCTGAACACTAGGCATTGAGGACATCATGGGATGTATATCTGAACACTAAGCATTGAGGACTTCATGGGATGTATATCTGAACACTAGGCATTGAGGACTTCATGGGATGTATATCTGAACACTAAGCATTGAGGACATCATGAGATGTATATCTGAACACTAGGCATTGAGGACTTCATGGGATGTATATCTGAACACTAAGCATTGAGGACATCATGAGATGTATATCTGAACACTAGGCATTGAGGACTTCATGGGATGTATATCTGAACACTAGGCATTGAGGACATCATGAGATGTATATCTGAACACTAAGCATTGAGGACTTCATGGGATGTATATCTGAACACTAAGCATTGAGGACATCATGGGATGTATATCTGAACACTAGGCATTGAGGACTTCATGGGATGTATATCTGAACACTAAGCATTGAGGACATCATGGGATGTATATCTGAACACTAGGCATTGAGGACTTCATGGGATGTATATCTGAACACTAAGCATTGAGGACATCATGGGATGTAGATCTGAACACTAAGGTGTTTATTTAGGGGCTTTTATTTGGAAAAATAGAATTAGCTGTGTGTCTAAATATAATGTATTCTTCTTTTGTTTGAAAGATGTGTTTAAAGTGTCCATTTATCCTTCTTTAAATAAAGTAAAGGTGAAACATCAGGAGAAAAGCTGAGACTCTAAAGAAAGGAGAAAGTATTTGAAATGAATATAAAGAGTGGGGGTTTCAGAGTACTTCAGGACTCGTGTGCTCAGAGGCTCTCGGAGCGTTTCTGTTTTTCTGACCTTTGATCAGATCAAACATGGCGTCCGTCCGCTCAGACACCAGCCGACTCTTCTTCCTCCTCATCGTCGCTATCCCAGCATGCACTGGGCTTCCTGGAGGTCAGTCTTCTTCTTCTTCTTCTTCTTCTCCTTGTAAATCCTCTCTCCTCTGCTGCTGCTGCTTTGAGCTACGTTAGCATGTTAGCTCACGTAAACATCGAGCTGTTCGGAGCTTCCTGTTGAAACAAAGGTCAGGTTTAATGTTCCAGCATTAGCACTATTGTTAGCTTAGCATAAGATATCTGAATTGTCGTCAAATTAGAGTAAAAGCTAGCTAGACCCATCCGTGAAAAGGGCGACCGAGGGGACAACAGATTCAAAAAGTAACGTCCGAACAAAACTGCTAAATATTACACAAATGTCAGAAAAAAATTAATAATCTCACAATTGACAGGCTAGCTACCACAACACAAGCATGTTATTGGTTTATATCCTAACCCTTCAGTCCACCTCCTCTTCTTCTTCTGTGTTTGTAATAAAGGCGGTGCGTTTGTTAGCCGCCCCGAGGCTAGCGTCTTCCTGCACCGCGCGCGGCGCGCTAACTATCTGTTCGAGGAGCTGCGGCGCGGTAACGTGGAGCGCGAGTGTTACGAAGAGAAATGTTCGTACGAAGAGGCGAAGGAAATCTACGCTCTGCCGCAACAGCTGGTGAGAACACGATGACTTTACGATGTTTTATCTCGTTACGTTTTCACGATGTTTTTATCTTCTTACGTTTCTAACGATGACTTTACGATTTTTTATGTGGCTAACTTTACGATGTTTTTATCTCGTTAAGTTTCAGACGCTAACGATGTTTCTTTCTCTACGCAGGAAGCTTTCTGGAGGCGCTACACAGGTCGGGTTATAATGTACTTCGGGTCACTGTTACTCCCTGAAGTCCTGTACTTCCTGTCCCTGTACTTCCTGTCCCTGAAACTGTGCTTCCTGTCCCTGTACTTCCTGTCCCTGAAACTGTACTTCCTGTCCCTGTACTTCCTGTCCCCGAAACTGTGCTTCCTGTCCCTGAAACTGTGCTTCCTGTCCCTGAAACTGTACTTCATGTCCCTGTACTTCCTGTCCCTGAAACTGTGCTTCATGTCCCTGTACTTCCTGTCCCTGAAACTGTGCTTCCTGTCCCTGAAACTGTACTTCATGTCCCTGTACTTCCTGTCCCTGAAACTGTGCTTCCTGTCCCTGAAACTGTGCTTCATGTCCCTGTACTTCCTGTCCCTGAAACTGTGCTTCCTGTCCCTGAAACTGTGCTTCATGTCCCTGTACTTCCTGTCCCTGAAACGGTGCTTCCTGTCCCTGAAACTGTACTTCATGTCCCTGTACTTCCTGTCCCTGAAACTGTGCTTCCTGTCCCTGTACTTCCTATCCCTGAAACTGTGCTTCCTGTCCCTGTACTTCCTGTCCCTGTACTTCCTGTCCCTGAAACTGTGCTTCCTGTCCCTGTACTTCCTGTCTCTGTACTTCCTGTCCCTGAAACTGTGCTTCCTGTCCCTGTACTTCCTGTCCCTGAAACTGTACTTCCTTTCCCTGAAGTCCTGTACTTCCTGTCCCTGTACTTCCTGTCCCTGAAACTGTACTTCCTGTCCCTGTACTTCCTGTCCCTGTACTTCCTGTCGCTGAAACTGTACTTCCTGTCCCTGTACTTCCTGTCTGCAGCGGTGGATCACTGCCAGTCGTCGCCCTGTAAGAACGGCGCCTCCTGCACTCGTCACCTAGACTCCTACAGCTGCAAATGTCCGCCCAAGTTCCACGGTCACCACTGCGACAAAGGTACGTCCGTACGATACGATAATACTTTAATAGTCTGACTGGAGCACAGAGGATGCTTCAGGCTGTCTGGAGCACAGAGGATGCTTCAGACTGTCTGGAGCAGAGGATGCTTCAGTCTGACTGGAGCACAGAGGATGCTTCAGGCTGTCTGGAGCACAGAGGATGCTTCAGGCTGTCTGGAGCACAGAGGATGCTTCAGGCTGTCTGGAGCACAGAGGATGCTTCAGGCTGACTGGAGCACTGGAGCACAGAGGATGCTTCAGGCTGTCTGGAGCACAGAGGATGCTTCAGGCTGTCTGGAGCACAGAGGATGCTTCAGGCTGACTGGAGCACAGAGGATGCTTCAGACTGTCTGGAGCACAGAGGATGCTTCAGACTGACTGGAGCACAGAGGATGCTTCAGGCTGTCTGGAGCACAGAGGATGCTTCAGGCTGTCTGGAGCACAGAGGATGCTTCAGGCTGTCTGGAGCACAGAGGATGCTTCAGGCTGTCTGGAGCACAGAGGATGATTCAGGCTGTCTGGAGCACAGAGGATACTTCAGGCTGTCTGGAGCACAGAGGATGCTTCAGGCTGTCTGGAGCACAGAGGATGCTTCAGGCTGTCTGGAGCACAGAGGATGCTTCAGGCTGACTGGAGCACAGAGGATGCTTCAGGCTGACTGGAGCACAGAGGATGCTTCAGGCTGACTGGAGCACAGAGGATGCTTCAGGCTGTCTGGAGCACAGAGGATGCTTCAGGCTGACTGGAGCACAGAGGATGCTTCAGGCTGTCTGGAGCACAGAGGATGCTTCAGGCTGACTGGAGCACAGAGGATGCTTCAGGCTGTCTGGAGCACAGAGGATGCTTCAGGCTGACTGGAGCACAGAGGATGCTTCAGGCTGTCTGGAGCACAGAGGATGCTTCAGGCTGACTGAAGCACAGAGGATGCTTCAGGCTGTCTGGAGCACAGAGGATGCTTCAGACTGTCTGGAGCACAGAGGATGCTTCAGGCTGACTGGAGCACAGAGGATGCTTCAGGCTGTCTGGAGCACAGAGGATGCTTCAGACTGTCTGGAGCACAGAGGATGCTTCAGACTGTCTGGAGCACAGAGGATGCTTCAGACTGTCTGGAGCACAGAGGATGCTTCAGGCTGACTGGAGCACAGAGGATGCTTCAGGCTGTCTGGAGCACAGAGGATGCTTCAGACTGTCTGGAGCACAGAGGATGCTTCAGGCTGACTGGAGCACAGAGGATGCTTCAGACTGTCTGGAGCACAGAGGATGCTTCAGGCTGACTGGAGCACAGAGGATGCTTCAGGCTGTCTGGAGCACAGAGGATGCTTCAGGCTGACTGAAGCACAGAGGATGCTTCAGGCTGTCTGGAGCACAGAGGATGCTTCAGGCTGACTGAAGCACAGAGGATGCTTCAGGCTGTCTGGAGCACAGAGGATGCTTCAGGCTGACCTTAGTGATCTCCATTAGCAGTTCATATTCCCTGTCAGAGCACGCTTTGGGTCCAGAGGACGCTGTTGGAGCCTCTGAGGTTATTATGGTCTGTGAGTCAGGAAGTCTCTGAGCAACAATCGATCTCCAGTGTTGGTATCATCTGAACGTCTTCCTCTTTCTCTCCACAGTCCGTCAGACGTCCAATGGCTGCCGCTACAGGAACGGAGGCTGTGAACATTTCTGTAAAGAGTTTCCGGATCGATCCACGGTGTGTTTCTGCGCTCCGGGGTACCGACTGCATCCGGACAACAGCAGCTGCGAACCCCAAGGTCTGAACAACTGTTACTTCAGACTTCTGGAAGCAACAGTTCTTAGTTTAAAGACAGTCTCTAGTGGAGGTCTATCTTTGGCCGTTATCGTCTTGGTCGTTTCCATCTTGGTTTTTATTTGTCAACTGCTTCTTTTTTTGGACCAAGATGTTGACGTCCAACAACCATCTTGGTCTTTGGCTAATTCAGACTTCTGGAGAGAAAAACACTGTATATTTGTAATACGTTCTCTAGTGGGGGTCCAGTTTAGGTAGTCACCATCTTACTCTTTGGGTTCTGAAATCACCGTCGTTACTCAGATATCCTTAATTTAAACCCAGTGTTGATACAAACCCTGGTCAGGGGTTAGTTGTGTTTACATTAACGTCTCTCTGTGTCTCCGATCAGACGAGGTGGCCTGTGGACGACCTCAGTGGTTCTTCAGCCCCAGGGTGATCAACGGGAAGAACTGCCCCAAAGGACAGTGTCCCTGGCAGGTACGATTATATAATAACTTTCATACTAAGACTGTGGTATCTCATGTCCCGGGTGTCTAACTGTCTCCTCTCAGGCGCTGCTGACGGAGCGTAACATCTTCACCTGTGGAGCGATCGTCCTCTCTAACCGCTGGGTGTTAACAGCAGCTCACTGCGTCTGGAGGAAACCGGCCCACGTCTTCAACGTCACCGTCGGTAAGACCGGTTCTTAGTCCTCTACCTTTATTTAGATATTCTATGGATTATCATGTCTTTTCATTCTGTCGTATGGCAAATTCTGTCTTTGTGCCCGAAAGCAAAGTGATCTGTACCAGTGTTGTTTCTGAAGTGGTGTCTCAGATCGATAGTAACCACAGGTAAACTAACGGTGCTGCTTCTCAGAGATCGATAGTAACCACAGGTAAACTAACGGTGCTGCTTCTCAGAGATCGATAGTAACCACAGGTAAACTAACGGTGCTGCTTCTCAGAGATCGATAGTAACCACAGGTAAACTAACGGTGTTGCTTCTCAGAGATCGATAGTAACCACAGGTAAACTAACGGTGCTGCTTCTCAGAGATCGATAGTAACCACAGGTAAACTAACGGTGCTGCTTCTCAGAGATCGATAGTAACCACAGGTAAACTAACGGTGCTGCTTCTCAGAGATCGATAGTAACCACAGGTAAACTAACAGTGGTGCTTCTCAGAGATCGATAGTAACCACAGGTAAACTAACGGTGCTGCTTCTCAGAGATCGATAGTAACCACAGGTAAACTAACGGTGTTGCTTCTCAGAGATCGATAGTAACCACAGGTAAACTAACGGTGCTGCTTCTCAGAGATCGATAGTAACCACAGGTAAACTAACGGTGCTGCTTCTCAGAGATCGATAGTAACCACAGGTAAACTAACGGTGTTGCTTCTCAGAGATCGATAGTAACCACAGGTAAACTAACGGTGCTGCTTCTCAGAGATCGATAGTAACCACAGGTAAACTAACGGTGCTGCTTCTCAGAGATCGATAGTAACCACAGGTAAACTAACGGTGGTGCTTCTCAGAGATCGATAGTAACCACAGGTAAACTAACGGTGTTGCTTCTCAGAGATCGATAGTAACCACAGGTAAACTAACGGTGCTGCTTCTCAGAGATCGATAGTAACCACAGGTAAACTAACGGTGTTGCTTCTCAGAGATCGATAGTAACCACAGGTAAACTAACGGTGCTGCTTCTCAGAGATCGATAGTAACCACAGGTAAACTAACGGTGCTGCTTCTCAGAGATCGATAGTAACCACAGGTAAACTAACGGTGCTGCTTCTCAGAGATCGATAGTAACCACAGGTAAACTAACGGTGCTGCTTCTCAGAGATCGATAGTAACCACAGGTAAACTAACGGTATTGCTTCCGTGCAGGTGAGCACGACCTGAACGTGGAGGAGCGCACGGAGCAGCGGCGGCGCGTTGTGAAGGTTGTGATCCACCGCGCCTACAACAAGTCGAGCTCTGACAGTGACATGGCGCTGCTGAAGCTGCAGAGGCCCGTGAAGCTAGGACCCTATGTGGTGCCCGTCTGTCTGCCTGCCAGGAATTCGTCCTTCAGCCGGACTCTGGCCAGCGTCAGAGAGTCCACGGTGTCAGGATGGGGTCGAGTGGCTCAACGAGGCCCGGCAGCCGGAGTTCTTCAGCGTCTGGTTCTCCCGAGAGTCCCTCTGCAGGAGTGCCGTCTGCACAGCAATCTGACCATCACTAAGAACATGCTGTGTGCCGGGCTGAAGGCAGGCGGCAGTGATGCCTGCGAGGGTGACAGCGGCGGGCCCCTGGTCACCCGCTACAAGAAGACCTGGTTCCTGACGGGCGTGGTGAGCTGGGGGAAGGGGTGCGCCAATAGGAACCTGTACGGGGTCTACTCCAGGGTCAGCAACTTCCTGGGCTGGATCGAGAGCGTCATGGCCCACTACTGACAGAGAGGCTAACAGAAGCTAATGCTACACAGATTTAATATAGTATGTCCTTGTTCCAGAAGCTAAAGCTACATTAAAACAGAACGCCGTTATTAAAGGAGCTAATGCTACAGATTAAACACCTACTTATTCTAGATGCTACTCACATTGAATATAGTATGTCCTTGTTCCAGAAGCTGGAGCTAATGCTATGAAAGTGCACTAACGTTTAAGTTTGATGTTGATTTCGAACCCGAGACGCTGAGATGTGATAACGTTGATTATTCTTCATGTACAAAAATAAAACTGTTACTGACACTGCTGATGTTTTTATTTATGTTCTTTCAAATATAAATATTATAGAAATGAATATATTTATCATTCTTCATCATGCAGAGGAGTTCAATACTGTATTTAGAAATAAGAAAGAATATATTTGAAAGGTGATCAGTGGTTTGATGTTCGTTATCTCCTGACGTATTGAAGGCAAACAGCAGCTTGTTTGTGGGTCTGTGTCATTGGGACATGTGATCGATGGTGTTTGGGGGGGGGGGGGGGGGGGGGTGGACTCTGGACCTCCATTAGCTCCACAGAGAGGCTCCTGTCTGATGAACCATGAAGCTCAGAGTCTTCTTCATCTTCGTCTTCAGCGTCTCCGGCTGCCGGGCTGCTTCAGGTGAGGACGACCTATCAGACTCTGATTACAGGAAGTACTCCAGTTAGCATGTAGCATCAAGGTACAGCTGGTAAAGCAGCACGTCACATGACTTCACGTCACATCCGCTAAGCTAAAGGCGGCTAACGCAACCTCCGTTTCTAAATCCACCAGTAGGTGATTTACTGACGTAGTTACTGACGCAGACGTAGTTACTGACGTAGTTACTGACGCAGACGTAGTTACTGACGCAGACGTAGTTATTGACGTAGTTACTGACGTAGTTACTGACGCCGTTACTGACGTAGTTACTGACGCAGTTACTGACGTAGTTACTGACGCTGACGTAGTTACTGACGCAGACGTAGTTATTGACGTAGTTACTGACGCAGTTACTGACGCCGTTACTGACGTAGTTACTGACGCAGTTACTGACGTAGTTACTGACGCTGACGCAGTTACTGACGTAGTTACTGACGTAGTTACTGACGCTGACGTAGTTATTGACGTAGTTACTGACGTAGTTACTGACGTAGTTACTGACGCAGACGTAGTTATTGACGTAGTTACTGACGTAGTTACTGACGCTGACGTAGTTACTGACGTAGTTACTGACGCTGACGCAGTTACTGACGTCGTTACCGACGCTGACGCAGTTACTGACGCTGACGTAGTTACTGACATAGTTACTGACGTCGTTACCGACGCTGACACAGTTACTGACGCTGACGCAGTTACTGACGCTGACGTAGTTACTGATGTAGTTACTGACGTAGTTACTGACGTAGTTACTGACGCTGACGCAGTTACTGACGCTGACGTAGTTACTGACGTAGTTACTGACGCTGACGTAGTTACTGACGTAGTTACCGACGCTGACGTAGTTACTGACGCAGTTACTGACGCTGACGTAGTTACTGACGCTGACGTAGTTACTGACGTAGTTACTGACGCTGACGTAGTTACTGACATAGTTACTGACGCTGACGTAGTTACTGACGTAGTTACTGACGCTGACGTAGTTACTGACATAGTTACTGACGTAGTTACTGACGCTGACGTAGTTACTGACGCTGACGTAGTTACTGACGCTGACGTACTTACTGACATAGTTACTGGCGCTGACGTAGTTACTGACGTAGTTACTGACGCTGACGTAGTTACTGACGCTGACGTAGTTACTGACGTAGTTACTGACGCTGACGTAGTTACTGACGCTGACGTAGTTACTGACGTAGTTATTGACGTAGTTACTGACGCTGACGTAGTTACTGACGCTGACGTAGTTATTGACGTAGTTACTGACGCTGACGTAGTTACTGACGCTGACGTAGTTACTGACGTAGTTACTGACGCAGTTACTGACGCTGACGTAGTTACTGACGTAGTTACTGACGCTGACGTAGTTACTGACGCTGACGTAGTTACTGACGCTGACGTAGTTACTGACGTAGTTATTGACGTAGTTACTGACGCTGACGTAGTTACTGACGCTGACGTAGTTACTGACGTAGTTACTGGCGCTGACGTAGTTACTGACGCTGACGTAGTTACTGACGTAGTTACTGGCGCTGACGTAGTTACTGACGCTGACGTAGTTACTGACGTAGTTACTGACACAGTTACTGACGCTGACGTAGTTACTGACGTTGTTACTGACGCTGACGTAGTTACTGACGTAGTTACTGACGCTGACGTAGTTACTGATGCTGACGTAGTTACTGACGTAGTTACTGACGCTGACGTAGTTACTGACGTAGTTACTGACGCTGACGTAGTTACTGATGCTGACGTAGTTACTGACGCTGACGTAGTTACTGACGTAGTTACTGACGTAGTTACTGACGCTGACGCAGTTACTGACGTAGTTACTGACGCTGACGTAGTTACTGACGCTGACGTAGTTACTGACGTAGTTACTGACGCTGACGTAGTTACTGACGTTAGATCTCTTTAGCTTCAGATCTGATCAGGGTTTAAAGGACTCATAGAGCTGACTCATGTCTCCTCAGTGCTGACTCATGTCTCCTCAGAGCTGACTCATGTCTCCTCAGTGCTGACTCATGTCTCCTCTCATAGAGCTGACTCGTCTCCTCTCATAGAGCTGACTCATGTCTCCCCAGAGCTGACTCATGTCTCCTCTCATAGAGCTGACTCATGTCTCCTCTCATAGAGCTGACTCATGTCTCCTCTCATAGAGCTGACTCATGTCTCCTCAGAGCTGACTCATGTCTCCTCAGAGCTGACTCATGTCTCCTCTCATAGAGCTGACTCATGTCTCCTCAGTGCTGACTCATGTCTCCTCAGAGCTGACTCATGTCTCCTCTCATAGAGCTGACTCATGTCTCCTCTCATAGAGCTGACTCATGTCTCCTCTCATAGAGCTGACTCATGTCTCCTCTCATAGAGCTGACTCATGTCTCCTCAGTGCTGACTCATGTCTCCTCAGTGCTGACTCATGTCTCCTCTCATAGAGCTGACTCATGTCTCCTCAGAGCTGACTCATGTCTCCTCTCATAGAGCTGACTCATGTCTCCTCAGAGCTGACTCATGTCTCCTCTCATAGAGCTGACTCATGTCTCCTCAGAGCTGACTCATGTCTCCTCAGTGCTGACTCATGTCTCCTCTCATAGAGCTGACTCATGTCTCCTCTCATAGAGCTGACTCATGTCTCCTCAAAGCTGACTCATGTCTCCTCTCATAGAGCTGACTCATGTCTCCTCAGTGCTGACTCATGTCTCCTCTCATAGAGCTGACTCATGTCTCCTCAAAGCTGACTCATGTCTCCTCTCATAGAGCTGACTCATGTCTCCTCAGAGCTGACTCATGTCTCCTCTCATAGAGCTGACTCATGTCTCCTCTTATAGAGCTGACTCATGTCTCCTCAGTGCTGACTCATGTCTCCTCTCATAGAGCTGACTCATGTCTCCTCAGAGCTGACTCATGTCTCCTCAGAGCTGACTCATGTCTCCTCAGAGCTGACTCATGTCTCCTCTCATAGAGCTGACTCATGTCTCCTCTTATAGAGCTGACTCATGTCTCCTCAGTGCTGACTCATGTCTCCTCAGAGCTGACTCATGTCTCCTCTCATAGAGCTGACTCATGTCTCCTCTCATAGAGCTGACTCATGTCTCCTCTCATAGAGCTGACTCATGTCTCCTCTCATAGAGCTGACTCATGTCTCCTCAGTGCTGACTCATGTCTCCTCTCATAGAGCTGACTCATGTCTCCTCAGTGCTGACTCATGTCTCCTCAGTGCTGACTCATGTCTCCTCTCATAGAGCTGACTCATGTCTCCTCTTATAGAGCTGACTCATGTCTCCTCAGTGCTGACTCATGTCTCCTCTCATAGAGCTGACTCATGTCTCCTCAGAGCTGACTCATGTCTCCTCAGAGCTGACTCATGTCTCCTCAGAGCTGACTCATGTCTCCTCTCATAGAGCTGACTCATGTCTCCTCTTATAGAGCTGACTCATGTCTCCTCAGTGCTGACTCATGTCTCCTCAGAGCTGACTCATGTCTCCTCTCATAGAGCTGACTCATGTCTCCTCTCATAGAGCTGACTCATGTCTCCTCAGTGCTGACTCATGTCTCCTCTCATAGAGCTGACTCATGTCTCCTCAGTGCTGACTCATGTCTCCTCAGTGCTGACTCATGTCTCCTCTCTTAGAGCTGACTCATGTCTCCTCAGAGCTGACTCATGTCTCCTCAGAGCTGACTCATGTCTCCTCTTATAGAGCTGACTCATGTCTCGTCAGTGCTGACTCATGTCTCCTCAGAGCTGACTCATGTCTCCTCTCATAGAGCTGACTCATGTCTCCTCTCATAGAGCTGACTCATGTCTCCTCAGTGCTGACTCATGTCTCCTCTCATAGAGCTGACTCATGTCTCCTCAGTGCTGACTCATGTCTCCTCAGTGCTGACTCATGTCTCCTCTCATAGAGCTGACTCATGTCTCCTCTCATAGAGCTGACTCATGTCTCCTCTCATAGAGCTGACTCATGTCTCCTCTCATAGAGCTGACTCATGTCTCCTCTCATAGAGCTGACTCATGTCTCCCTCAGTGCTGACTCATGTCTCCTCTCATAGAGCTGACTCATGTCTCCTCAGTGCTGACTCATGTCACCTCTCATAGAGCTGACTCATGTCTCCTCTCATAGAGCTGACTCATGTCTCCTCAGTGCTGACTCATGTCTCCTCAGTGCTGACTCATGTCTCCTCAGTGCTGACTCATGTCTCCTCTCATAGAGCTGACTCATGTCTCCTCAGTGCTGACTCATGTCTCCTCAGTGCTGACTCATGTCTCCTCTCATAGAGCTGACTCATGTCTCCTCAGTGCTGACTCATGTCTCCTCAGTGCTGACTCATGTCTCCTCTCATAGAGCTGACTCATGTCTCCTCTCATAGAGCTGACTCATGTCTCCTCTCATAGAGCTGACTCATGTCTCCTCAGTGCTGACTCATGTCTCCTCTCATAGAGCTGACTCATGTCTCCTCAGTGCTGACTCATGTCACCTCTCATAGAGCTGACTCATGTCTCCTCTCATAGAGCTGACTCATGTCTCCTCAGTGCTGACTCATGTCTCCTCAGTGCTGACTCATGTCTCCTCAGTGCTGACTCATGTCTCCTCTCATAGAGCTGACTCATGTCTCCTCAGTGCTGACTCATGTCTCCTCAGTGCTGACTCATGTCTCCTCTCATAGAGCTGACTCATGTCTCCTCAGAGCTGACTCATGTCTCCTCTCATAGAGCTGACTCATGTCTCCTCTCATAGAGCTGACTCATGTCTCCTCAGTGCTGACTCATGTCTCCTCAGAGCTGACTCATGTCTCCTTTCATAGAGCTGACTCATGTCTCCTCAGTGCTGACTCATGTCTCCTCTCATAGAGCTGACTCATGTCTCCTCAGTGCTGACTCATGTCTCCTCAGTGCTGACTCATGTCTCCTCTCATAGAGCTGACTCATGTCTCCTCAGTGCTGACTCATGCCTCCTCAGTGATGACTCATGTCTCCTCAGTGATAGTGATGACTCATGTCTCCTCAGTGCTGACTCATGTCTCCTCAGTGCTGACTCATGTCTCCTCAGTGCTGACTCATGTCTCCTCAGTGCTGACTCATGTCTCCTCAGTGATGACTCATGCCTCCTCAGTGATGACTCATGCCTCCTCAGTGATGACTCATGCCTCCTCAGTGATGACTCATGTCTCCTCAGTGATGACTCATGCCTCCTCAGTGATGACTCATGTCTCCTCAGTGATGACTCATGTCTCCTCAGTGATGACTCATGCCTCCTCAGTGATGACTCATGCCTCCTCAGTGATGACTCATGTCTCCTCAGTGCTGACTCATGCCTCCTCAGTGATGACTCATGTCTCCTCAGTGCTGAGTCATGCCTCCTCAGTGATGACTCATGCCTCCTCAGTGTTCCTGGACCCAGGCCCCGCCCACAGTGTGCTGCGGGTCAGGAGGGATAACTCCGGCTGGCTGGAGGAGCTGCAGATGGGCGATCTGAAGAGAGAGTGTTTGGAGGAGAAGTGCTCCTACGAGGAGGCGAGGGAGGTGTTCGAACACACCGAGGCCACGGTCAGAACTCACTCAGATTACATCGGTTCACATTTAGTGATCAATATTAAATCTGCTCCTCTCTGTGTCTCAGGACGAGTTCTGGAGGACGTATACCCGTAAGAAAACACCTGGTACCCGTGTGTGTTACCCGCGTGTTACCCGCGTGTTACCTGTGTGTGTTACCTCCGTGTGTTACCTGTGTGTGTTACCCGTGTGTGTTACCCGTGTGTGTTACCTCCGTGTGTTACCTGTGTGTGTTACCCGTGTGTGTTACCTGTGTGTGTTACCCGTGTGTGTTACCTGTGTGTGTTACCCGTGTGTGTTACCCGCGTGTGTTACCCGCGTGTGTTACCCGTGTGTGTTACCCGTGTGTGTTACCCGTGTGTGTTACCCGCGTGTGTTACCCGCGTGTGTTACCCGCGTGTTACCTGTGTGTGTTACCCGTGTGTGTTACCCGTGTGTGTTACCCGTGTGTTACCTGTGTGTTACCCGTCTGTTACCTGTGTGTGTTACCCGTGTGTTACCTGTGTGTGTTACCTGTGTGTTACCTGTGTGTTACCTGTTGTGTTACCTGTGTGTTACCTGTGTGTTACCTGTGTGTGTTACCTGTGTGTTACATGTGTGTTACCTGTGTGTGTTACCTGTGTGTTACATGTGTGTTACCTGTGTGTGTTACCTGTGTGTTACCTGTGTGTGTTACCTGTGTGTGTTACCTGTGTGTGTTACCTGTGTGTTACCTGTGTGTGTTACCTGTGTGTTAATGTGTGTTACCTGTGTGTTACCTGTGTGTTACCTGTGTGTTACCTGTGTGTTACCCGTGTGTTACCTGTGTGTTACCTGTGTGTTTAACTGTGTGTGTTACCTGTGTGTTAACTGTGTGTGTTACCCGTGTGTTACCTGTGTGTAGTAGCGGAGGTGTGTGTTTCTGGTCCATGTCTGAACGGAGGCAGCTGCTCTTCTCAGGGTTCCTCCTTCACCTGCTTCTGCCTCCCAAACTTCAGCGGACTCACCTGTGAGCTGGGTGAGAAACACACGATTAAAAGCACAATAAGATGTGCAGCTACGGGATGAAATGTGAAAGTTTAAGCAGATTTGTATTTGTTTGGGGCTGAAACAGAAATATGAAACTGTTCTTACCTGTGTTGCAGAGCGGAGTTCGGTGCTGGACACCTGTCTGCTGCAGAACGGAGGCTGTGAGCATTTCTGTGATGAAGACGAGGAAGGACGAAGACTGAAGTGCTCCTGTGCCGACGGATACTTCCTGCATGACGACGGGCGGAACTGTGTCGCTAAAGGTAGACGTTTAACATCAACATTTTAAAATGTAAGCAGAGGCCCCAGTGCAGATCCCTGCGGGACGCCATAGTTAACAGTTTTAATGCACAATGTGATGTTTTTTTAAAGATCAGAATAATATCAGCTGTTTTATTAAACAAATCAACGTGTTTTCTGGACGTCTCAGAGGCCATAGCGTGCGGCATGGTTCCGGTTCTGCTCGGGGGAAACAAGGCGGAGCAGGACCCCCGGGCCCGGATCGTCGGGGGGGAAGACTGTCCGAAAGGGGAATGCCCCTGGCAGGTAGGTTGCCTTAAAGGGACAGTACACCATTTACTGCTAACCCTGTAATCTGTCCTTCTCTGAGCGGGGGGGATCCCAGAGTTACACAACTGGACTTTAACCCTGTAACCTGTCAGAACCAGAAACTGTTGGAGACCCTCGAGGTCACCTGATAACACACAGGTCAAACTGAGTCAAGAGAAACACAATCAGGAACTTAGATCCATGTTTTCTGTCCTGATAGAAGCTCTGAGTGTTCATCGTTAATCAGATACTGTCCCTGTTGTTCCTCAGGTTCTGCTGGTGTACAAAGGGAAAGGGTTCTGTGGAGGAGTGATCTTTAAACCCTTCTGGATCCTCACAGCCTCTCACTGCATAGAGGACACCGAGGTCCAGTTCCTCAAAGTGGTCGCAGGTACGAACTACTGACCCGAACCCTAAAAAGTGGTTGATACCAACACCTGAGAAATCTACAGTTCTAGAAACCAGAACCAGTTCTTGCTTTGAGTTTCCTCCGACAGCAGATTAGTAATCTGTCAAGTGAGGCTAGAAAGGCTATATTATTGTTTACAGCAGTTCTCCACCACTGGGTGTTGTTTTCCCTCTATGTCGAGTCAACTGCAGTGTACCCTGTGGTTTGTAATATCTGTGTTAGTGTGTGTTATTGTTTCTACATCTGTTTTATGTGTTGGATTCCTGAAATGAGCTATGGCTGTTAACTGGTTTTCACTGCAGTTGCAGGTTATGTTACTGCTTACAAACGAGAATGAAAACGTGTTCCTCTCGTTGTTTTCAGGCGAGCACAACACGGCGGTGTCAGAGGGCACGGAGCAGCTGATCTCGGTGTCTCAGATCTTGATGCATGAGGGCTACGTGAAGCGCACGGCGGATAACGACATTGCGCTGTTAAAGCTATCGTCGCCTGTGATCTTCTCTGCGTTCGCCGTACCCGCCTGCCTGCCCACGCGTTCGCTGGCAGAGCGCGAGCTGTGGGCGGTGAGCGAGCACACGGTGAGCGGCTGGGGGCGGCGCGCCGAGAACGGGCCGACCTCTAACGTCCTGCGGCGCCTGAAGGTGGCTATTACTATTATTTATTTATTTTTTCTAGAAAGGGGCAGGTCATATAAGAGTATGTTCTTCTCCCTGCTCCGTTTCAGGTATGGTGTTAAACACTATAAACTAGAGACATGTTTTGTAAATAATTGTTATATATTAAGTTGTGCATACCATGAAGGAAACAAATCAATCTGTTCCTCACTTCAGGTGCCGAGGATCTGGACGCAGCAGTGCGAGGAGCAGAGCGGCGTGAAGCTAACGGCTAACATGTTCTGCGCCGGCTACATCGAGGGTCGCCAGGACTCGTGTAAAGGAGACAGCGGCGGCCCATTGGTCACTCAGTACCACCGGACCACCTTCCTATTGGGCATCGTGAGCTGGGGGCGGGGCTGCGCTCGGCCCGGGAACTACGGCATCTACACCCGCGTGTCCAACTTCCTGCCCTGGATACACAACCACACCAGGGCCCTGAACGCACCGCAAGAGAACCAGAACATGACCCTAAACGCACCGTCGGGGAACCAGAAAGTGACCCTGAACACACCGCCGGGGAACCACAGCGTGACCCTGAACGCGAACCAGAACATGACCCTGAACGCACCGCCGGGGAACCACAGCGTGACCCTGAACGCACCGCCGGGGAACCACAGCGTGACCCTGAACGCACCGCCGGGGAACCACAGCGTGACCCTGAACGCACCGTAATAATAATCCATCTTTAAAGTAAAAATACAAAAAAGACAAATTAAAATAAGCAGGGTTTCTCATATTAAAGAACATTAGACTTCATTCCATCTCTGTTTGATGATGTGTAGAAACTGAGCCTTCTGTAGGAGCTGAAGTATACTCAGGCAGAAATTAATATGTCACTAAGAACTTTCAGATTTTTGTACAAATGTCCGTCTGAAATAAAGCACATATATATAAACATATATAAAGCTCAGATTCATGAGTAAATAAACACGTGCTCCTCCTCCAGCTGCAGTATTTACTTATTGTGTAATCGTGCCTCTCTGTTAGTTCATCATTCCTGTAGAAAATATGTACTTTTACTGCAGAAAATACTCTATAGTTTGTGTACTTATACGTGTAGTGCTGCTGCTGCTGATACGTGTACCACATGGAGCTGGAATTAATCCTAAATAAATACATGAGTTTAAATAATAATAATAATACATTACATGTATATAGCATTAATAGAAATCAGACTTCATCAGAGTTTTCGGCAGATAGCAAAGGGTCAAAGGTCAGGTGAAGGTGTGTTCACTGACCTGGTGGAGATAAAAGCTCTTTAGTCTGGGTTTAGAGGAGACAGTGAACACATCACGATGTTTGAGAGGAGCGTCTGCTTTCTGCTGATCAGCCTCTCTCAGGCTGCAGGTAAACAGGAAACACACCGTAGCATGTTAGCATGTTAGCATGACAGGCAGTTACATACAGACGGGATGTTAGCATGTTAGCATGACAGGCAGTTACATACAGACGGGATGTTAGCATGGTGTTAGCATGACAGGCAGTTACATACAGACGGGATGTTAGCATGGTGTTAGCATGACAGGCAGTTACATACAGACGGGATGTTAGCATGGTGTTAGCATGACAGGCAGTTACATACAGACGGGATGTTAGCATGGTGTTAGCATGACAGGCAGTTACATACAGGCATGGTGTTGGCATGACAGGCAGTTACATACAGACGGGATGTTAGCATGGTGTTGGCATGACAGGCAGTTACATACAGACGGGATGTTAGCATGGTGTTAGCATGACAGGCAGTTACATACAGACGGGATGTTAGCATGGTGTTGGCATGACAGGCAGTTACATACAGACGGGATGTTAGCATGGTGTTGGCATGACAGGCAGTTACATACAGACGGGATGTTAGCATGGTGTTAGCATGACAGGCAGTTACATACAGACGGGATGTTAGCATGGTGTTAGCATGACAGGCAGTTACATACAGACGGGATGTTAGCATGGTGTTAGCATGACAGGCAGTTACATACAGACGGGATGTTAGCATGGTGTTAGCATGACAGGCAGTTACATACAGACGGGATGTTAGCATGGTGTTAGCATGACAGGCAGTTACATACAGACGGGATGTTAGCATGGTGTTAGCATGACAGGCAGTTACATACAGACGGGATGTTAGCATGGTGTTAGCATGACAGGCAGTTACATACAGACGGGATGTTAGCATGGTGTTAGCATGACAGGCAGTTACATACAGACGGGATGTTAGCATGGTGTTAGCATGACAGGCAGTTACATACAGACGGGATGTTAGCATGGTGTTAGCATGACAGGCAGTTACATACAGACGGGATGTTAGCATGGTGTTAGCATGACAGGCAGTTACATACAGACGGGATGTTAGGATGGTGTTAGCATGACAGGCAGTTACATACAGACGGGATGTTAGCATGGTGTTAGCATGACAGGCAGTTACATACAGACGGGATGTTAGCATGGTGTTAGCATGACAGGCAGTTACATACAGACGGGATGTTAGCATGGTGTTAGCATGACAGGCAGTTACATACAGACGGGATGTTAGCATGGTGTTAGCATTAGCTGAAACTTTAACAAAATAAAGAGTAACTCAGTTTCCTCTAATCATTAACCCATGATTGTATAATGTAGTTAACTCCGTGTGTTGCTGCTAGCATACATAACACCTGACGTGGAAACGTTACTCGTGGATGGGGCTGCAGAGCTGCTAGAAAGACAGTGGAACCCGGTGCTTTTTCTAAATGTTTAGACTCATTGCTCGTGTTCCCGCCCTCACATGCTAAACTCTCTTGGCAAGGAGCATTGTCCTCAAGATGGGTAACATTTAACCACACCTTGGAGCGCTTCTCTCCGCCATCCCCGCCGTGTGTTGCTGCTTGTAGCAGCCGCGTGTGTGTAAACTGCCCCGCCCCCTCGCGCACAGACGGGGGAGAGAGAGATCTCGTCTGGATTGGAAAGGTCGAAAATACACCGACATTTGTTTGTCTTTTTGCATGTTAGAAACGAGTTGGCGACACTAAGACTGAGATAATGTTTGTGTAGCAATAATACAGACCTTTCTCTTTCTCAACTCGCTACTCGGAGGGAAGTCGCTGTCATATGCCTTGTGAACACTCCGATAATGCCTCTCCACGTTACCTTTCTTTGGCAGAGCGACGCTTGCTTTACAAATAACCTTTGAATGTGCAGTGGCGGCGGGTCATTAGGGGCAGGTGGGGCACAGCCCCACCTAGTGTCAGAAGAAAGTATTACAAATAATGATTACAAAAAAATAAATAAAAAAACATATAAAATATATGTTAAGGTCATGTTTAATAATCTGATTCGTCTGTACATTTCTGTTTTAGTCTGTGTTCTTCTAATTAGTGTCTAGAGTGCCGTTTTGAGCTGTTTAGAGCCGTGTGGGACAAAACCCGATCCTGCCCCTCCCTCTCACAGTCTAAGTGAACGGTGATTGTAAAAACTACACTGCGCATGCTCAGAGTATTTTTCTATTTAATGTGTGTGGCAAAAAAATAATGACCGTAGGGGCATAGTGCTCCCATCCCCACCATACGTCATCTCACATAATTCAGAATTGATTGGCTGTAAGTACTCACGTGTGCAGTGCTGCGAAACGTCACGTGTAGTTTGAAGAGGAGACGAGAGAGCAGCATATAGCTAACATCACCAGCGATTAAAAGAAGTAAAAAACTGAAAGAAAATGAATTAAGTTGACCATTTACTGGAGCACACATTTGAGACACTTAGTCTCGGAGAGAAACTGGAGGTAAAGCGCCTCGGTGCCCACCATCCACCGGATTTCCAAATGGTCCAGACTGCGGGCAAAGTTAAACGTGGGTTTAACGCTGAGTGGTTTGCTAAAAAGAAATGGCTAACGGCGAGCATCCAGAAGAATTCCCTCTTTTGCTTTCCTTGCCTGCTTTTTGGTGAAGATCAAGGTACTTGGTCGAGGACAGGTTACAAGGACTTAAAGCATCTTTCGGAGAGGACAATGAAGCATGAGAGCAGCAACAGTCATTTGGAAAAGGCCGTAAAATTGGGATTACTTGGAAGGGTGAATGTTGCAGCTCAGATTGACAGCGCCTACAGACGCGGCATTGATTCTCATAATAGGAAGGTGGAAGAAAACAGGTACGTGCTTGGTCGGATCATCACCTGTATTAAACTGTGTGGGAAATGTGAGACAGCACTGCGGCGCCACAACGAGTCGGCGGACTCTCTGAATCCAGGGATATTCAGGTCAATTTTCGAGACAAAGTGTGAGGGCGATTCCAGGCTTGAACGGCACTATGAAGCTCAGCTTGTTTTCAAAGGGACATCAAGCACCATACAGAATGAACTCTTGGACTGCATGTATGATGTGTACAGGGAGGAAATAGCCAAGCAAGTGGACAACACATCATTTGTTGCCGTTCAGGCCGACGAGACAACCGATGTCTCCTGTAAATCGCAAATGGTGATTGTGCTGCGATACATTATGCCTGACCTCACAGTTACAGAGCGTTTTTTGGAGTTTGTGGAAGTAAAGGACAAAACTGGTGTAGGTCTCTCTAACAGCATCAAGGCTGTTCTGGAACCCCTGAAGCTGAAAGAAAAGCTAATCGCTCAGACCTATGACGGGGCGGCCGTCATGAGCGGTAACGTGCGCGGGGTACAGACGGTGATGAAGGAGACGTACCCAAACGCTCAGTTTGTTCACTGCTACGCCCACCAACTGAACCTGACCCTGCAGCAACTGTGTTCAGCAAGGATGAGCATCCTGAAGGTGTTTTTTGCAGATCTAACTGCTTTTTCCACTTTTTTCTCCGGTGCTCCAAAACGTGTTGCAGCTCTTGCAGAGGCAACACAGAGACGCATCCCACGGCCACCGGCTGTGAGATGGAACTTTAAAAGCAGAACTGTGAACGCGGTTTGGGAGACCCGAGATGCACTACTTCAGTGTATGAAGCATATACGCGCACAACCAGGATGGGATGCGGTCACCATAAGTGAGGCATACGGCCTGTCAAAGAAACTGCGGGACCGAGCATTTATGCAGCTCCTGGAGTTTTTTTCGTTGCTTATGCCAGAAGTGGATGTTCTATACAACACTCTGCAAAAACGAAGCATCGATGCACCTGGGATCAACAGCGCGCTCTGCCGTTTCAAGGAACATGTTCAGAAAATGAGGCAGAAAACTGATGCATTGGCCGCCACTGCTCATGATGGAACAGACGAGCCAGGCCGACGAGTCAGCAGCACAGCGCCGGTGATGAAGGAGGCTTGTGACACAGTCATCTCACAGGTGGAACAGAGGTTCTCACAGAGTGACCATTTGATCGCTGCAAAGCTTGTTGACAGCTCATTCTTCCCACAGCATGTCCTGTCATTTCCTACACCTGAGCTTGACTGCGCCGTGAAACTGGCCTGCGTTGGGAAACAAGGAGAAGTTGAAGTCTGAGCTGACCACGCTCTACCGCCACAGTGAGCTTCACACTGGAAACACTGCCCTGTCTCTGTTGAAATCCATTCACGAGAACAACTTGGAGGAAACGTTTGCTGAGACTGTTATTTTGGTCAAAATAATAGTGACAACTCCGATGACGACATCCGAGTCAGAGAGGAACTTGTCCACCCTCAAAAGGATAAAGACTTTCACTCGCAACACCATGGGACAGCCGCGACTTAACGCATTGGCCATGCTTTCAATTGAAAGCCAGTTGATCCAGCAACTACAGGACTTCATCCCCAAAGTGATAGACACATTCTGTCAGAGGAAGGACCGCCGTGCCGCTTTTCTTTTCAAGTGAGCCTTCAGCTTTGGTAAGTTCATTTATGTCATATATTTTGTTGATCTTCTGTGTTTTGCCTCTGCTGGATCGATTGATATTGTGACCTCGATGATGAGTGTCTGTGTTTTCCTTATATTTACAGTCTATGGTGTTTTAATGCTAAAGCATTACGGTTGTTGTTATTGTTAAGAATGACTTTGTGATGGTGACCTTTACTCCATGTATGAAGGTGCATTACTATGACATCCCCACGCTGTGTACGTAAATGTATGCGCTCACAGTGTTGCTCCTGTGGTCTTCAGTATGTAATTTGACACTCCCCCTCTCTCCTCCCCCCCTCTCTCTGTCCCCCCTCTCTCTCCTCCCTCTCTCTGTCCCCCCCCCCTCTCTCTCTCTCTCCTCCCTCCCTCTCTCTGTCCCCCCCCCCTCTCTCTCTCTCTCTCTCCCCCGACCTCTTTCTGCCCCCCCAGTTTTGTACACCTAGAAACGCCACTGTGAATGTGACATCACAAACAAATATTCTTCCTTCCATTCTGGGTGGAAGTGGTTTGTCTTTAGCTTCTTGCTCGGTCCCGCACTCATTTTGTTGTTTGTCTCTTGTTTGTCTCTTTAACTTAATTTTAGTTTTCCCGGGACTTGACAGATTTTGTATCGCTTTGCATTCTGGGTTAACAGACTGGAAAGCGATCGGTCGCTTTTTCTGTCAATCAAGTAAACTCCTGAATTTTAACGGAACAAGATTTTTTTTTTTTATGAATGACTCGCGATCTACCAGCATTGCCCCCGCGGTCGACCGGTCGCCCGCGGTCGACGTACTGGGCACCTCTGCTCTGGAGAGATCAGAGTCTGTTCGTCCACCTCCTCTCAGAGTTACCCCATCATAACCATATTTATTGCGATGTTTTCTGTCCGCAGGTCGCGACCCCTGCCTGGTGAACCCGTGTCGTAACAACGGGACGTGCGTCTACATGGAAACTTCGTACAAATGTTACTGCAGCGAGGGCTTCGAGGGACAGTACTGCCAGACGGGTAAACTTACAAATAAACAGGAAGTCACAAAACTGCAATTAATAAATACGAGATAAATCGTGAAGACTGACGACGTTACGTTTGTTTCGTAAAGTTCTCGTTAAGTGGGTTTAGCTATCATCTAACTAACTCATCTTTATATATTGTTATTTTGTTCGTAGTATAAGTACACATAATGTGCCAGACAGGTAAACTCACAAAACTGCAATTAATTAATATGAGATGAATCATGACGACTAAAGCTACCGACTTTGTTTCGTAAAGTTCTCCTAAAGAACACGTTTTATGTGTTTAGCTACCTACCCGTCTTTATATATTGTTATTTTATTGGTAGTATACATTAATGTGTATTTCCCCGCGCAGTGATAGAAGACGCGCTGAAGTGTCTCTATCAGAACGGACACTGCGAACAGTTCTGCGACGGATCGGCCGAACATCGTACACGCTTCTGCACCGACGGATACAAGCTGGGGGAGGACGGGCGGAGCTGCGTCGCTCAGGGTGAGAGAAATACTAAAATACCACTTATTTAGAGATACGTATATATTTACTGAGTGTTACACCTACCTTAGTGTAGCATTTCTGAAGGTGCAGTGACGTCCGTAAACAGCAGGGGGCAGCAGAGTCTGGATTGATAGAAATAGAAGTTACGATGAGAAATTAAAAGTACTTCCTGTTGTTAAATAACAAATGATGGATCTGGGACCGGGTGAAATTATAAAAGTATTATTAATTGTGGAATAAATAATTAAATACACATTAAAAAAAAATATTTAAAAAGAATAATCAATATGGTTAGTATAAAGTAAATACATGATAAATAATTAAAATGATGAAATATAACTATTATTATTCATATAATAATAAGTTATGTTATGATTATTGTTTATAAAATGTACCTTTTGATATTCAACATGTTCTCAAATAATTCCAACTTTTCTGACCGATATCTTGTGTGTTTCTGTTCCAGTGGAGTTCCCCTGTGGTCAGGTTCCTCCGGAGGAACTGGTCCCAGATCAGAGTTCAGTGGGTCAGACCCGGCTGGTGGGGGGGAGACAGTGCCCCCCCGGAGACTGTCCCTTGCAGGTAAACAGAGACCAGCGCCCCCTACAGGCTGAAGGCTTCATATACAGCTGTTGATCCTGAATGTCCTCTTCCAACGTGAGAGTGCATTGAGTTCATGAGCCTGCTCACTAGCAGGCTTTGAGACAAAGTCCGAATTTTGAGAAAAAGTAAAAATGTTGAGAAAAAGAAAAACGATTTTGAGAAATTCCGAATTTTTGATTTTTAGAAAAACTCAGAATGATATGATAGCTATGTGATTAACATGATGATTCTGTAAGAGAATATTTTCATCTGATCTGTTATGGTTCCTTAGAGTCTGTGATACTGCAAACATCTGCTTGTAGTCAGTCAGAGACTTCTCTGTGGGTTGAGGTCACAGGTCAAACGCGTCTCCTATGTCCGAGGGTTGACCTGGCAGCATCTCTTTGAGACAAGCAGATCATTGTCTTGCATCGGCTAATTGATTATACGCGGGCTTTCTGGAAGCCCGCCTCTCCTCGTGTTGGTTAGATGTTTTGTGTCTTTTGGGGCAGAGATCGCTGGTGGAGCACTGGGCATGTGTGAAACTAAGTGATCTCCCCGGCCGTATGTAATTAATGTACTGTGATCAATAAACTCTTCAGTGCTTTTGGCTAAGAACGGTTCCAGACTCCTTCATTCTACCTCAACATTGCAACAACAGAAGTTTACCTTCACAGATTCAGCCTCTATGGAGAGAGACATACGACAAGCATGCTTCAGGAACTAGGGAACTGATGCTCTGTATGTGATGACTCCATTCTGGAGAGGATCCCAGATACACGGGTCCTGCTGTCTGTCAGAAACTGAAGAGCTTTATCTCTCCGCAGGTTCTGGTCCAGTTGAACGGAGAGAGCCACTGTGGAGGAGTTCTGGTTAACAGCCAATGGGTGGTCACCGCGGCACACTGTATCCATGGCAACAACAGCGGGCAGAACCTCACCGTGGTGACAGGTAAAGTCTATATCTCTATATGTTGTTAATGCTGTTTTAAATGTTATTGTTTGTCCATCCATCCATCTTCTCCCGCTTATCCGTGGTCGGGTCTCGGGGGTAGCAGTTCCAGCAGAGAGCCCCAAACTTTCTTTTCCTTGGCGACATCAACCAGCTCTGACTGGGGGATCCCAAGGCGCTCCCAGGCCAGCGAAGAGATATAATCCCTCCACCTGGTCCTAGGTCTACCCTTGGTCTCTTCCCAGCTGGACGTGCCTGGAACACCTCCCTAGGGAGGCGCCCAGGTGGCATCCTAACTAGGTGCCCGAACCACCTCAACTGGCTCCTTTCGACGCGAAGGAGGAGCGGCTCAACTCCGAGTCCCTCCCTGATGACTGAACTTCTCACCTTATCCCTAAGGGAGACGCCAGCCACCCTGCGGAGAAAACCCATCTCGCCCGCTTGTATCCGTGTATTATTGTTTGTAAATAATAATAATAATAATAATACATGACACTTATATAGCGCTTTTGACAGAGTAACACAAAAACGAAGAATATATATAAATCTTGTATAACATGAGTTGATTCTCCATAACCAGGTGAACACTATGGCCGTATCTCATTTCTCTATTCCCCCTCCTTGACTCCTCGGTCCTCCGGTAGTGAATGGATTTCAGCGCGCCATGTTGAAGGACATCTCATTTCTCTAAATGCACTTCGAGGATCGAGCGTCGAGGAGGCTCTCTGGAGGAGCTCTAATCGAGGAGAGAGGAGAGAGGAGGCTCTCTGGAGGAGCTCTAACCGAGGAGAGAGGAGAGAGGATGTATTTCCGGCAACAGAGATGTTTCAAAGACTTGTGACGCACGGCCGGACTTCTCTCAGCCAATCACAGCTCTGCATGCATCCCCTGGATATTAGTTTATAATAATGGATATATCCAGTCTCTGATTGTGTTACGTTATTATGAGAGTGCTCTCAGACTTGTTTGATTGAATTGTATATATTTATATAAATACATATATAAATATGTGTGTGTGTGTGTGTGTGTGTCCTCATCTGCAGCCTGTTATTGTCTCATTACACCGCACTGTGAATGAATCAAAGTAAATATAGAAGTGGTCATGAACACATCTGTCCATCAGACAGAGGGCTGCTGCCTCCTGTCATCATTAATGGACGTCTCTTCAAAATGACCGCTCAGAGGAGAGGAGTTCTCCTTTCTCTAACCGCCTGCTGCTCCCCTCCTCGACTCCTCTCTCCTCGGCTCCCCTCCTCGACTCCTCTCTCCTCGACTCCCCTCCTCGACTCCTCTCTCCTCGGCTCCCCTCCTCGACTCCTCTCTCCTCGGTTCCCCTCCTCTCTCCTCGGTTCCCCTCCTCAGTCCTCCGCTCGCATCTCCTGTGGGCGGGACTAAGTCTCGAGGATAGGAGTCGAGGAGGGGAAATCCCAGAAATGAGATACGGCCTATATTAATGTTGTTTTAAATGTTGTTGTTGTTTTGTTTGTAAATCTACGTTGTGTCTCGGTCCCCAGGTGAACACAACCTTGACGTGTTCGAGGGCACGGAGCAGCACACGCCTGTCTCCATGGCGATCCCGTACCCTGGTTACGTGGCGTTGTCAGGTGACGGTGACGTGGCGTTGCTTAGGCTCCGCCTCCCGGTGACTCCGAGTCCTCGAGTCGTTCCCGTCTGCCTGCCAACTCGAAGCTTCGCCGAACGGGAGCCTCTGCCGGTTCGACCACGTGGTGTCGGGGTGGGGGGGGCGCACCGTGGGGCGTAACCCCCCTCGCCCCCCCCTCCTCCACACCATGAACGTTCCCATCCTGCCGAACACTGAGTGTTCCCGACGCTCCGGGTTCAACTTCACGGACAACATGCTGTGCGCAGGGTACCTGGAGGGACAGGCGGAAGGTTGCCGGGGCACCGCTGGTCACACTGTACGGACACACCCACTTCCTGTCCGGCGTGGTGGGGTGGGGGCGGGGCTGCCAGCACCCCGGGTATTATGGGGTGTACGCCAAGATGGCCAACTTCGTGGAGTGGGTGGAGGAGACCATGAAGAACCCCCCCACTGAGACCCCGCCCATCGGGAAGCACCTCGACATGATGCAGCAGAAACTGGTTTAAACCATTATCCACGGGTTTTAGGGGGGTCATTTTACTCTGTTGTTGACAGTTACCACTTGTTCTTCGACTTGTTGACAGTTACGTGACGTGTTGACGGTTACCACTTGTTGTTGACAGTTACGTGACTTGTTGACGGTTACGCGACTTGTTGACGGTTACGCGACTTGTTGACGGTTACGCGACTTGTTGACGGTTACGCGACTTGTTGACGGTTACGTGACTTGTTGACGGTTACGTGACTTGTTGACGGTTACCACTTTATTTCTACACCCCTCTTCTGTTCAGTCGTAATAAAGCATCAGGTTTTGGTCTCTATTGAATGTTGATGATTAGAAGCTGAATAAAGTTTCTGAAGCAACGGATCATTCGTCCAACAGTCTTTATTTTTAACATTTCTTATCTTATAGTGGATTTTATACATTATTGACTTTAGCATTTTTATAAAAGTAATATTAATCATGGAATACATATTTAAATATATAATAAATACATTATAAAAGAAGAACAATTATTACTAAATATATCAATATGGATAGTTATAAGTAAATACATAATACAAAACTAAAATGATGAAATATTAGTTATGAATTATAGAATAAATAATTAATTATATATAAATGATAAAAGATTTAACTATTGAAACATATTTTAACAAATGTTTAAAAAAAAACTTTTTTCAATATTTATAAACAATATAAATAAATCAAATTAACCGCAATTTTAAAATGTCTTACAATAGCGCTTTTACTTTGACAGCCTGAAATGGCCGTAGCACTTCCAGTCTGCAAACACACGCTGACCTCAGCTGAGTCACAGTTTAAACCTGAATGAATGTAAACACTCCCTCAGGTCGTTGCCCTCCTCCCTCTCTCCTCCCTCCTTCCCTCCTCCATTACTTCCTCTCTTCTCTCTCAGGTTTTATTCTCCGTGGTAGCGGCGCCATGTTGACGTCTGTTTGTGTTCTCCGGCTGACACTCGGCGTCCTGCTGCTGCAGCTGATCGCCGCGCACCAAGGTACCTCATTTACATATTACAGGCTCATTTACATAATCCAGGTGAGAAGGGGGGGGGTGTGTGTTGTTGGTAGAGGGGGGTTGTGTTGACCCATGACCCCTTCCAGTGTGCTGGGTTGAGTTGAGAACAGAAGGGCTGAAATTATTTCCATTTTCGGGTAATTTTAAGGTTTTATTACCAGATAAATTATAGCTACGAAGACGGACGATGTTGTTTTTTGGCGTCCGGTTGGTGGTTGCTGCGACTTTCGGTTTACACGTTGAAACATCGAGGTGTGGCACCTGCTTCTCTAAAATGCTTCTCATTGGGAGTGTCTACTAAAGGGTCTTGAGTGGAAATGTCAAAGGTTTTAAGAGTTATCACAAAAAGCACTTGTAGAAACGCTAACTGGTTATATGGAATCATTTTCAAAAATAAAGCGTAAGGTGTCCTTATGGCTAACGTAAAGCTAATAAAGCTAACTTGGCTAACATGATGACCCAGTTTACTCTAATGTGATAGAATTGTGATTTGAGTGTTTTCCAGAGACGTACCGATGTTTGTGTTTCAGTGTTTCTGGACGGCGACTCGGCGCGGCAGCTCCTGAGCCGCCGGAGACGAGCCAACAGCTTCCTGGAGGAAATGAAGCAGGGCAACATGGAGCGGGAGTGCCTGGAGGAGCGCTGCGACTGGGAGGAGGCGCGGGAGATCTTCGAAAACGCAGACAAAACGGTGAATATCTCCTGAAACTCAAACACCACGAACACTTCAGAGATCTGATTCACTCTCAGGGACAGCTAGCACTGAAGCTAACGCTGTGGGTCGCTTGTTGGCGGTACAGCTTCTTAGGAATCAACAGCAAACATTCAACATGTTATTCAAAGTCACCAGGTTCAGATATTGATACAAAAATGTCTTGAAAAAAGTCCCAAAAAACCTTCATTAGCTATTTTTCCACTCATGGCTTGAGTTGAAATATTTAATTCTCTGTTTTATTGTTTTCAGAATGAATTCTGGGCCATATACGTTGGTAAGACCGTTGTTATTTACTCTACAGGACCATCTGGTTATTTTTAACATCAACCTTTCAATATGAGCGAAGCAGGAACTGAGTTGTTGTTGTTGTTCAGATGGCGACGCCTGCCTGTCGGTGCCCTGCGCTCACAACGGAGTGTGTAAGGACGGGATCGGCAGCTACACGTGCTACTGCAAAGACGGGTACCAGGGCTTCAACTGTGAGATCGGTACGGACCGCCAAACACATCAACAAACACATCAACAAACACATCACCGCCAAACACATCAACAAACACATCAACATCAAAGACATCACCGCCCTCTAAACTGATGCTATTGATGCTAACACTGCTTCCTCTAAACTGATGCTATTGATGCTAACACTGCTTCCTCTAAACTGATGCTAACACTGCTTCCTCTAAACTGATGCTAGTGATGCTAACACTGCTTCCTCTAAACTGATGCTAGTGATGCTAACACTGCTTCCTCTAAACTGATGCTAGTGATGCTAACACTGCTTCCTCTAAACTGATGCTAGTGATGCTAACACTGCTTCCTCTAAACTGATGCTAGTGATGCTAACACTGCTTCCTCTAAACTGATGCTAGTGATGCTAACACTGCTTCCTCTAAACTGATGCTAGTGATGCTAACACTGCTTCCTCTAAACTGATGCTAGTGATGCTAACACTGCTTCCTCTAAACTGATGCTAGTGATGCTAACACTGCTTCCTCTAAACTGATGCTAGTGATGCTAACACTGCTTCCTCTAAGCTGATGCTAGTGATGCTAACACTGCTTCCTCTAAACTGATGCTAGTGATGCTAACACTGCTTCCTCTAAACTGATGCTAATGATGCTAACACTGCTTCCTCTAAACTGATGCTAATGATGCTAACACTGCTTCCTCTAAACTGATGCTAGTGATGCTAACACTGCTTCCTCTAAACTGATGCTAGTGATGCTAACACTGCTTCCTCTAAACTGATGCTAGTGATGCTAACACTGCTTCCTCTAAACTGATGCTAGTGATGCTAACACTGCTTCCTCTAAACTGATGCTAATGATGCTAACACTGCTTCCTCTAAACTGATGCTAGTGATGCTAACACTGCTTCCTCTAAACTGATGCTAGTGATGCTAACACTGCTTCCTCTAAACTGATGCTAGTGATGCTAACGCTGCTTCCTCTAAACTGATGCTAGTGATGCTAACACTGCTTCCTCTAAACTGATGCTAGTGATGCTAACACTGCTTCCTCTAAACTGATGCTAGTGATGCTAACACTGCTTCCTCTAAACTGATGCTAACACTGCTTCCTCTAAACTGATGCTAGTGATGCTAACACTGCTTCCTCTAAACTGATGCTAGTGATGCTAACACTACTTCCTCTAAACTGATGCTAGTGATGCTAACATTGCTTCCTCTAAACTGATGCTAGTGATGCTAACACTGCTTCCTCTAAACTGATGCTAGTGATGCTAACACTGCTTCCTCTAAACTGATGCTAGTGATGCTAACACTGCTTCCTCTAAACTGATGCTAACACTGCTTCCTCTAAACTGATGCTAGTGATGCTAACACTGCTTCCTTTATCTCTGCAGTTATCCCCGAGCTGTGTGAGAATAAAAATGGCGGCTGTGAGCACTTCTGTAACTTGGCTTCGGGAAACGTTCAGTGCTCCTGCGCCAACGGATACTTCCTGGGACCGGACGATAAATCCTGCGACTCCAACGGTGAAACAGACTCTCTACATGTTAGCGATGCTGTACCTTTGGTGTTTACTTGGAGGATATCTTCAACTCGACAGAAAGTGAAAGGGTGTTCAGGCTAAATATCTCTTGACCAGTCAGAAGCATCAAGGAGAGGCCTGTGTTGAAGCTACTGCTAGCCTAGCAAGTTACCTTCTGTAGTTCCTTTATGGCCCAACATTAGCCGCCTTTAGCTTAGCGGTGGTGACGTGAAGTCATGTGACCGTGCTGTAGTTCCTTTATAGCCCAACATTAGCCACCTTTAGCTTAGCGGTGGTGAAGTGAAGTCATGTGACCGTGCTGTAGTTCCTTTATAGCCCAATATTAGCCACCTTTAGCTTAGCGGTGGTGACGTGAAGTCATGTGACCGTGCTGTAGTTCCTTTATAGCCCAACATTAGCCACCTTTAGCTTGGCGGTGGTGAAGTGAAGTCATGTGACCGTGCTGTAGTTCCTTTATAGCCCAATATTAGCCACCTTTAGCTTAGCGGTGGTGACGTGAAGTCATGTGACCGTGCTGTAGTTCCTTTATAGCCCAACATTAGCCTCCTTTAGCTTAGCGGTGGTGACGTGAAGTCATGTGACCGTGCTGTAGTTCCTTTATAGCCCAATATTAGCCGCCTTTAGCTTAGCGGTGGTGACGTGAAGTCATGTGACAGTGCTCTAGTTCCTTTATACAGTAGCCCAATATTAGCCGCCTTTAGCTTAGCGGTGGTGAAGTGAAGTCATGTGACCGTGCTGTAGCTCCTTTATAGCCCAACATTAGCCTCCTTTAGCTTAGCGGTGGTGACGTGAAGTCATGTGACCGTGCTGTAGCTCCTTTATAGCCCAACATTAGCCTCCTTTAGCTTAGCGGTGGTGACATGAAGTCATGTGACCATGCTGTAGTTCCTTTATAGCCCAACATTAGCCTCCTTTAGCTTAGCGGTGGTGACGTGAAGTCATGTGACCGTGCTGTAGTTCCTTTATAGCCCAACATTAGCCGCCTTTAGCTTAGCGGTGGTGACGTGAAGTCATGTGACCGTGCTGTAGTTCCTTTATAGCCCAACATTAGCCGCCTTTAGCTTAGCGGTGGTGAAGTGAAGTCATGTGACTGTGCTGTAGTTCCTTTATAGCCCAACATTAGCCTCCTTTAGCTTAGCGGTGGTGACGTGAAGTCATGTGACCGTGCTGTAGTTCCTTTATAGCCCAACATTAGCCTCCTTTAGCTTAGTGGTGGTGACGTGAAGTCATGTGACTGTGCTGTAGTTCCTTTATAGCCCAACATTAGCCTCCTTTAGCTTAGCGGTGGTGACGTGAAGTCATGTAGTTCCTTTATTAGCTTTTTACTACTAAACATGTAAGTATAAGAAACGTTTGTTTTTAGAGATTATTTCCTGCAATAACCCAAAACTCCGATCTCTTGCAGACGTCTTTAAATGCGGCGCCGTCGTGACGGAAAACGTCCGGACAGTTTTCCGGTACGACCGCAACGAGTCCATGGTGATGGAGAACATCAGCATCAGCGACTTAATGAAAAACATCAGCGATGGCGACTTAATGAAAAACATCAGCGATGGCGACTTCCTGTCGGATAACAGCGACTTCCTGCCGGAGAACAGCGACTTCCTGTTGGAGGACGCCGTGTTCGAGGAGACGCTTTACTCTCAGATGGCGAGTATGACGCGCATCGTGAACGGAGAGGACTGTCCTCCGGGGGAGTGTCCGTGGCAGGTAGAAATGAAAATGTTAAGCACTTCGCAGATGATGAAGATATTAGTAGCTGTTTTTGATTATCAATTAATTAGGATTTCAAGCAAGAAGAGGTACTCATTTTGTTTTCTACGTGGGAATTAATAATAGTCAAATTATAAGTCAAATGTTTTCTTTTTGACATAATGGTATATACTTGGAAGTCCATTAAAGACGTCTGGAAGTATATTTTGGTTCAGTCTCACCAGTTTGGACCTGGTCCTGCAGGCTCTCCTCCTGAACGAGGACGACCGCGGTTTCTGTGGAGGAACGATCCTTAACGAGTACATCATCCTGACGGCCGCCCACTGCATGAATGCCTCGCGCTACATCTACGTGAGACTCGGTAGGTCTGACGGACCCGAATATAAAACACGAGGCAGATTTATGTTGCACGCTTTAACTGAAATACGTTACAGGGGAGTTTGACGTGTTGGTGGATCACGGTAACGAGGCGAGGCACGAGGTGGAGACGATCATCACGCACCAGAGATACAAGCCGGACACCTACAACAACGACATCGCGCTAATGAAGCTAGCAACGCCCATCAAGTTCTCCCGCTTCATCCTGCCGGCCTGCATCCCTGAGCAGGAGTTCGCTGAAAAGGTGAACCTTCAAACGTGTTTCACAAATAAAGTTTGACATTCAGGGCCGTCCGTGGAAACCACACAAAAGTATTCGGACAACCTTAACGAACCATGTGCCTTTAAAGACACTAGCATTTATTTGACTTGTTGATGTTATTAGCCTCTAAAGTAGTTGATGCTAACACATTAGCAAACAAAGACCATCCAAGATACATGGCTAACCCTCTGACAATGACAATTATTAGTTTTGGGGTTCCTCAGGGAACGGTTATCGGTCCTCTATCACTTCTATTTAATGTAACATGTCGTTCCAAACTTAGCTCATATTTTTTTTCTAACTCTGGTGAAACAGAAGATTAAAAGAGGAGCTTTTGCATGATTCTTTTTGGAAAAGTACCCCCTGGTGTGAATACATTAGCTTCCAGTGCTAACTCTTTACCCCCTGGTGTGAATACATTAGCTTCCAGTGCTAACTCTTTACCCCCTGGTATGAATACATTAGCTTCCAGTGCTAACTCTTTACCCCCTGGTATGAATACATTAGCTTCCAGTGCTAACTCTTTACCCCCTGGTGTGAATACATTAGCTTCCAGTGCTAACTCTTTACCCCCTGGTATGATTACATTAGCTTCCAGTGCTAACTCTTTATCCCCTGGTATGATTACATTAGCTTCCAGTGCTAACTATTTACCCCCTGGTATGAATACATTAGCTTCCAGTGCTAACTCTTTACCCCCTGGTATGATTACATTAGCTTCCAGTGCTAACTCTTTACCCCCTGGTATGATTACATTAGCTTCCAGTGCTAACTCTTTACCCCCTGGTATGATTACATTAGCTTCCAGTGCCAACTCTTTACCCCCTGGTGTGAATACATTAGCTTCCAGTGCTAACTCTTTACCCCCTGGTCTGATTACATTAGCTTCCAGTGCTAACTATTTACCCCCTGGTATGAATACATTAGCTTCCAGTGCTAACTCTTTACCCCCTGGTATGAATACGTTAGCTTCCAGTGCTAACTCTTTACCCCCTGGTTCTACAGGTGTTGATGCGGGAGCCGGACGGCATGGTGAGTGGTTTCGGGCGCACGGGCGAGGGCCGGCAGCCGTCCACCATCCTGCAGCGTCTCTCCATGCCTTACGTGAACCGGCTCACCTGCAAGGAGTCCACGCAGCTGCGCATCAGCACCAACATGTTCTGCGCCGGCTACGACACGCTAGCCAAGGACTCGTGCCAAGGCGACAGCGGCGGGCCGCACGTCACGCGCTACGGAAACACGTACTTCATCACCGGCATCGTGAGCTGGGGCGAGGGCTGCGCGCGGAAAGGGAAATACGGCGTTTACACTCAGGTGTCCAAGTACATCCGCTGGATCAACAGTGGCATGCAGCAGCTGATGCCCAAAGAGAAGAGCGGCAGGCGGAGGAAGAGGCACCGCGGCCCGGCCCGGAGGCTGCTTCTGTAAACACCACGCCATAGCATAGCTAGCTAAACAAGCTAATCCCTGTTATAATGTTGATAATTACTTTAGGGGTTCCTCAGGGCTCGAGTCTCGGTCCTTTATATTTTATATATAGTTATTTTAATCGATATATTTTCATTTAAAGGGCGGCATCTGACAAAGAAGCTTTTTGATCAGTGTTGTTAAAGGAAAAGTGCAATTTTGATCAATTTAACAATTAAAATGTATTACATTTGTGTAAGAAACTGTGTGTTCGTGTGTTCTGTCTAAAATGTGCCTTTTCATCTTAAAGAGAAGCTAAATAAATAAATAAAAACAACAACAGTGGAAGTCTTTTGTGATTGAATCTCATTGCAGATTATTTTAACACATCGTCTTTGATTTTGGGAGATTTTAACAGTTATATTTGAATATTTTATGACAGATTTTAAGGTTTGTAACGTAATGTGGGTTATATAGGCTAAGGGTCTTGTTGGCATCATGTCTCCCCTACACGTCTATGTCTATCCGGGGATGATTTTAAATGATTAATCCCTTGTTTACCCGGGGATAAACAGACTCCTGGAGTTCAGAGGCCGATGCTGCTTGTTTAGAGAGAACAGGTCAGAGTCCACTGCAGTGTTTACAAAGAGACGTTTAAATACCATTTAACTCTTTAGAGCAACACACCTGATGAGGAGGTGAAACACTAACTCCTCTGGGAATATTGAGTTTTAAAATCTATTTAAAATGTGTAAAACTGAACTCCGTAAATTAAGACGAAGCTTTTTTAAATTGGTAAATTTGTGAATGAAGTCTGGTTTGATTTAATCACGAGACTCCCGACAGAAATCAGTGTGTGACGTCAGTGTGTAAACAGTGTTCAGACACTCAGAGTCATGGCGGTCGGCATCATGTCGGCTCGAGCGTCTCTTCTGGCGCTAACCGCTTGCTTCCTTCAGGTTCTCATCCAAGGACAAGGTAAGACATCGGTACACTGCGAACTTAGTGCTAATATCAGCTGTCGTTTGATTCACAGGTCAATCGGGCGGGAAACTGAAAGGTCAATATGATATTTCAGACAAACAAATGATCCAATTCATACGGTGGTCTATTGGTGCCAAAAACACTTGTTTTTAACTTAAAATACACTCAGTGTCGTAATGAAGAATTAGTTTGAATAACTATTACGTTTTATATTCATAAAAATAATCATAAAAATAATAAATATCTATAAACTACAAAGATTTTTATTTGATATTATTTAGTAGTTTTTTGCGGCGCTCGCAACCAGGACGTCGCATGCAGTTAAACAGGTTTATTTATATTATTTTATATTTTATTGTCAGTGTTTCGGGCCCGCTGCGCTCGCGGCGTGCTAACCTGTTTTATATAATAGTATTTATTATTTTATTGTCAGTGTTTCGGGCTCCCCAGGACGTGTTCCTGCGCTCGCGGCGCGCTAACAGGTTCCTGGTGGAGGAGGTTCTGCAGGGGAACCTCGAGAGGGAGTGCTACGAGGAATGGTGCAACTACGAGGAGGCGCGGGAATACTTCGAGGACACGCCCAGTACGGTGAGGGAAAACATTATTAAAGAATATATTAGTATTTGTTATATATTTTTTATTATAGATTAATTCTTATTTTTCTTGTCTAAATATATTTTGTAATAATACTTCAATTTATATATTTTATTTATCTAAATATATTTGTTAATTCTTATTTAAGTACAGTTATTTTCTTTTGTAAAACATTTGTAATTATTAAATATGATAACTATAGTTATAATAATAATTAAGGCAATATTTTAAATTACTTTGAAACCGTTATTAATGTCTTTGTTTGTCTTCAGAACGCCTTCTGGACCGTTTACTACGGTACGTTTTCATTTCAAATCTAAACTAATACTTTGTTTTCGTCATCATTGTTTATATTTCTGTATTTCTGTTCCAGACGGGGATCAGTGCGAGCCGGACCCCTGCCTGCACGGTGGAAACTGCACGGACCGGGTGGGGGGGTTCCTGTGCTCCTGCCCCACCCCTCACTACGGCCCTGTCTGTGAGCTGGGGGCCCCGGGCCCCGATGGAAACCCCCCCACCGCCCCGCTGGTCACCTCCACAGGTTATTATATATAGGTTATAACTATAAATTCAATCTTATTTGTTATTTTGTACTATATTAATTTGATTATACATTTTATTCATTATGTTTTATTTCCCCTAATTTATCTGTATTTCTTCTGTATATATTTGTATTCTTTTACATTTTAAATGAACCCTTATAAAAATGGTTTTTAATATATCTGATTAGAACACGCCCAAGGCGATGTTAGCTCCGCCTCCAAACAGGGGGCGTGGCTTCGAACAAAGCTAGTTTAAGGTGTGCTTTTTTCAGCGTTTTTGTAATAAATAGTTGGCTAACATCATGGCATCGATTAACACTTGATTCAAACTTGTTATTTACGCCGTTATTTGGTCGGTACTCCACCAGCAACACATTCGTTTTTCAATGATTTTGGACTAAAGGATCTACCTGTGTTTAACCGTCCCGTGTCTCAGAGATCTCTCAGTGTCCGATCGGCGGCCCGTTGGCGTGCGATCAGATGTGCGAGGCGTCCGTCAGTTCGTTCGTCTGCTCCTGCCTGACGGGCTTCAGACTGCAGGAGGACGGGCGGAGCTGCCGGGCTGAAGGTACGATGATAAAAAAACACGAGAAAATATACAAGAACTATAGAGAGAAATAACGCCATGTTTGTGTCCTCAGCCGAGTTTACCTGCGGACGACTTCCTGACGAGATCAACGCCACGCTGTGCCCTCGAGGAGACTGTCCCTGGCAGGTGAGGCGACCAATCACGTCCCATTAGCCTCCTTTAGCTTAGCGGTGGTGAAGTCATGCTGTATTTAACAGGTTTGTTTTGCTCCTGCAGGCGTCCCTATTGGACAGCAGAGGGGAGGAGCTGTGTAGCTGCGCTGTGATTGGCCGTCGCTCCGTGCTGACCTCGGCTCGATGTCTCCTAACGGGCGTGTCATCGCCCCCCCGACCCTCTGACTTCACCGTGGCCGCCGGTATATTATTGCAGCGTTTTATTGTGAAATTTAAGATGATTTTCAAAATAAAAGCCTCACTAATCTTTTCTTCTTCCAGGCGATAGAAAGACACTTGTCGCCGTGCGGTCGCTCTACATCCACGAGCGTTTCCGTGAGCATTGCCGTGACGATGACCTCGTCCTGCTGGAGTTGTCCCGCCCCCTGACCTTTGGCCCCGCCCTCTCCCACCTCTGCCTCCCCCCCACCAGGGACTTCAGCGAGAACATCCTGATGCATTCTGGGAGGACGGGGGACGCCGGGGAAAAGACGCTCGTCTACAAAACGCTGGACGAGTGCCGACTAAATACGAACGTTTCAAATCTGCTTAGCAACAAGATGTTCTGCATGGGGGGGCTTAATGAGGGACAAGAGGGTGGGCAAAGCAGACCCAAACGAGCCCAGGGGAGCCTTAATGAACTCTGGAATTACACTAGTGCGGATATGAGGAGAAATGGTTCTGATCGAGTCCAGAGAGACCAGACTGGGGATTTAAGAAACCCAAACAGTACCATTAAGAGCCCGGATGAACCCTTTAGGAACAAGAATGGCAGCGAAGGGACGCAGAATGGACGCCATCACCAGAACCAGGACCACCAACAGGACCACCATCAAAACCACAACCAGGACCACAACCAACAACACCAACACCACCATCAAAACCACAACCAGGACCACAACCGAACCCCCCATGGAGCAGACCGGACTCTGATTGGATCAGAAACCGGGCACAGGACCCAGAATGGCGCCCGGCGGTGTTCGGGCTTGTTGCCGGGGGCGCCGGTTGCTACGGTGGAGCGCGGGACGGCGTTCCTCACCGGGCTGCTGATGACATCATCATGTGGGGACGGGCTGGTGTTCACCAAACTGTCCCGGTACCTGAGCTGGATCCGGACCCGGCTGGAGGCCAGCGAGGGTCACGTGACCTCTCAGGGTCACATGACCTCTCAGGTCCTGCAGTACCCCGAGAAACCCTGAGACACTTTATCCTCAAATATTAACACTTTTCCCCTGAATTGTTGACGTTTTCTTGAAATATTTTAATTTTAAATATTCCACTGTATATTCCACTACAGATGATAAATGCCCAGTAAAGACTACAATACCCACAATGCACCAGCTCCAGTGTTACTCCGGTTAGTGTTAATAATGAGAGACGGGACGCGCTCTACAAACAGATTCCGTTTTTATTCAACATTAAAAGGTTTCCGGTACAAAATAAAGAATGTTTGAGCAGAGGGGATTGTGGGTAATGTAGTCTATGAGACGGAGGACAGAGCAGAGGGGATTGTGGGTGACGTAGTCTATGAGACGGAGGACAGAGCAGGAAACGGGTTCTGTTTACTGACCACGAGCTTCTGGTGCTGCTGGGAGATGTAGCCTTTGATGTGACCCTGAGGGAAACCACAGAAGAAGAACAGGCTAACTGTTAGCGCCCCGCTGCAGTAAAACACCTCAGACTGAATATATCCTTTTATTGTGAAACTGATATTTGATTAAATACATAACAAATCTGATTCATTTATTATTTTATATATTATAATTAATTATACATTACATTTAATTCCAGTATATAAATAAAGAAAAATAATACTATTTAAAGAAATTGTAAAACAAACATTGTCTGTCTGTCTGTCTGTCTGTGTGTGTGTGTGTGTGTGTGTGTGTGTGTGTGTGTGTCTCACCATGTAAATGAGGTTAGCGAGGATACACTGCACTTCGTCCAGATCAACGTCCTGCAGCTGCATCATCTGCAGAGAGACCAGGAAGGAGGCCAGGGGCAGCTGGTGGGTCCTCAGCAGCAGGTACCTGATCAGTATATATAATATAAAACATCGATCTCTTTTTCACAGGAGACCTGTCCAACATGGCAGCAAGTAGGTTACAACATGAACATAAAACAACAGATAACACAAAAGGACATGGTATTTACAGGGCTACATGTTCATACCTAGAGACATTGACAAGTACCAACAGTATACAGTGGGGCAAACAAGTATTTAGTCATCCACCAATTGTGCAAGTTCTCCCACTTAAACAGATGAGAGGCCTGTAATGTTCATCCTAGCTACACTTCAACTATGAGAGACAGGATGGGGGGAAAGAATCCAGGAAATCACATTGTAGGATTTGTAATGAATTAATTGGTAAAATAAGTATTTGGTCACCTCCAAACAAACAAGATCTCTGGCTCTCACAGACCTGTAACTTCTTCTTTAAGAGCCTCCTCTGTCCTCCACTCGTTAACTGTATTAATGGCACCTGTTTGAACTCGTTATCAGTATAAAAGACACCTGTCCACAACCTCTAACAGTCACACTCCAAACTCCACTATGGCCAAGACCAAAGAGCTGTCAAAGGACACCAGAAACTAAATGGTAGACCTGCACCAGGCTGGGAAGACTGAATCTGCAATAGGTAAGCAGCTTGGTGTGAAGAAATCAACTGTGGGAGCAATTATTAGAAAATGGAAGACATACAAGACCCCTGATAATCTCCCTCGATCTGGGGCTCCACGCAAGATCTCACCCCGTGGGGTCAGAATGATCACAAGAACGGTGAGCAAAGATCCCAGAACCACACGGGAGGACCAAGTCAATGACCTGCAGAGAGCTGGGACCAAAGTAACAAAGGCTACCATCAGTAACACACTACGACCCAGGGACTCAAACCCTGCAGTGCCAGACGTGTCCCCCTGCTTAAGCCAGTACATGTCCAGGCCCGTCTGAAGTTTGCTAGAGAGCATTTAGATGATCCAGAAGAGGATTGGGAGAATGTCAGATGGTCAGATGAAACCAAAATAGAACTTTCTGGTAAAAACTCAACTAGACGTGTTTGGAGGAGAAAGAATGCTGAGTTGCATCCAAAGAACACCTACTGTGAAACATGGGGGTGGAAACATCATGCTTTGGGGCTGTGTTTCTGCAAAGCGACCAGGACCACTGATCCGTGTAAAGGAAAGAATGAATGGGGCCATGTATCGTGAGATTTTGAGTGACAACCTCCTTCCATCAGCAAGGGCATTGAAGATGAAACGTGGCTGGGTCTTTCAGCATGACAATGATCCCAAACACACCGCCCGGGCAACGAAGGAGTGGCTTCGTAAGAAGCATTTCAAGGTCCTGGAGTGGCCTAGCCAGTCTCCAGATCTCAACCCCATAGAAAATCT